AAAATGTTCTCTTCGGAGATACATATAAAGAGTTGTATCATTGAGTTGCTAGGCGCGCTCGCACACAACTATAACGAACTACATGTAAAAACAACACCAAACATGTAGGTGGGAAAATACGAGAAAAAAAGTGGTGGTAATTTGGAAATGGGAATTTCGACAGCCTCGATAGCTCAATTGGTTAGAGCAATGCCCCGGCAAGGCAGAGGGTGTGAGATCATTCCTCACTCGAGTTACTGTCGTTTTTCCTGTTCCAAATTATCATTGCTTCATTCGAAGTGTTTGCCATTGAACTATACGTTCGTTAAATTAAAATTCTAATGGGAAGGTGTACATTAAGTACGTTAATTGATACGCATTAGTATCCCCCGCCCGCTCTTACGATTTCATCACGAAAAAGTAAGTGATAGAAGTGATAAGAATCTGTCTTATCATAAATGGAGAGATGATGAGTCGTTGATTAGAAATAATCAACATAAACAATTCTAACAATTACATCTCTCGTGTTGTGGAAACAAAATGTTCTCTTCGGAGATACATATAAAGAGTTGTATCATTGAGTTGCTAGGCGCGCTCGCACACAACTATAACGAACTACATGTAAAAACAACACCAAACATGTAGGTGGGAAAATACGAGAAAAAAAGTGGTGGTAATTTGGAAATGGGAATTTCGACAGCCTCGATAGCTCAATTGGTTAGAGCAATGCCCCGGCAAGGCAGAGGGTGTGAGATCATTCCTCACTCGAGTTACTGTCGTTTTTCCTGTTCCAAATTATCATTGCTTCATTCGAAGTGTTTGTCATTGAACTATACGTTCGTTAAATTTAAATTCTAATGGGAAGGTGTACATTAAGTACGTTAATTGATACGCATTAGTATCCCCCGCCCGCTCTTACGATTTCATCACGAAAAAGTAAGTGATAGAAGTGATAAGAATCTGTCTTATCATAAATGGAGAGATGATGAGTCGTTGATTAGAAATAATCAACATAAACAATTCTAACAATTACATCTCTCGTGTTGTGGAAACAAAATGTTCTCTTCGGAGATACATATAAAGAGTTGTATCATTGAGTTGCTA